CCCCCCCCCCCCCCCCCCCCCCACCCCCACCACACCACCACGCCTCGCCACACCACCACCACGGCCCCCGCCAACCAGACCGCCACTGCCCTCCACCCCACCACTGCCAGCAACCAGACAGTGTCACCCCACCACCCCACAGCCCCCGCCAACCACACCACCACTGCCCTCCCCACCACCCACCACCACACTGCAGCCCCACAGCCGACAGAGGAGCCCGTTGTGCCCGTGGGAAAGTACGTCGTTAAGAAAGGACCCACCATCTGTCTGCGGGCAGAAATGGGGCTGCAGGTCCAGGTGCGCTACACGGGCAAAGAGAAGCAGGAGGTAAGGGGGGCTCTCTGGCTTGACCGGGTTGTGCCAGGCGGTTGGGGGGAGAGGGGCTGGGGAGCCAGCTCTGCAGAAGATCCCCAGAAACGGCACATCAAAATAAAATCTGAGCGCCTGGGGGGAAGAGAACAAGATCCCGGAAGAATGGCCTCCCTGCCTGGAAGCCTGGCTCCTCTCTCTCTGGAGGGGCCCAAGAAGCCCCCGTCCCGCAGACGTCCCTCCTCTGCTGCCCGTCACGGCCTGCCTTGGCCGGGTTAGCCTGACCAGAGCGCCGCGGATCCACTTGGTTACCGGCTGGCCTTTAGCTCTGTCCTTGCAGCGCTGGCCATGCTTAATTGCGCCAGAGCAAGGGCAGGCTTGGGCTGTGGCGAGAGGGCGAGGGCGGGAGCAGAACGGGAGGGAGATGTGGAGCAGCCCAGTTCCCTTCAAGGAAACGTAGCACCTAAGAAGGTGGGCGTGGGGGGGGAGTGCCAGCCAGCTAGCAGGACCTGCCAGGGCCTTCTCTCCTTCCTTCCTTCCTCCTCCAGCTCTGGGGAGCATTTCCCGTGCAGCCCAACCGCACCCACGTCTCTGGGACCTGCTCTAACAAGACGGCCACCCTGGAACTGCATTTCGCAGAAGGCTCCATTCTCTTCACGTTCAAAAAGGTGCCCAAGGGGGGCCACGGGAAGGAGGGGGAGCGGCTGGGGCCAGGAAGGGGCCTCTCGGGGCGGCGAGCAATTGCTTTCAGCAGCCCCACTGGCAGAGGCAGGGGCGGGCAGGAAGTTCCCTGTTAGCGGTCAGGCCTGCAGAGGCACCGAGCAAACACAGGAAGTCCCCAGTGAACAGCTGGCGGAACCAGAGGAACCCATACCGTCCCGTCCCGTCCCGTCCCTCTCATTCAGCGGCTGGTTAGCAGCTCTCCCAAAAGGCCTCAGGGGCTTTCTCCCACAGCTGGCGGAACTCGGAGGTAGACTCGCCTTGACCCTGGAGGCTCTGCACGCCCACCAGGGTTAAGAGGGCCTGCTGTAAACCAGGGCAAAGCCACATCTCGCGGCAACCAGCTTAACGATTCATCAGGGGAAGTTTCTTAGCTTCACAAGAAGATGGCACTCAACAGGATTCTTAGTTCATTAATTTCATCGGCCCTTACGTTCTGCCAGTTAGTTTCCCTGGGTGACAACATGGCAGAAAAAGGACCGAGGAATCCGCTCTGAAGGAAGAAATGTAATCTTGGCCCTTGCTGCCCGCAAGTTTTTTCCCTAGAGACATATAAATGGCGGTGGGAGAAAAGCACCACCACGCACACAACCCCCTTCCCTGGCACAGCCGCCCTTGCCCGCTCCCCTGCCCGTGACTCAGCAAGCAACACCCAGCCAGACCCCACCTCCTCCCCCCCGGTCAGACTCCGCCTGGGCTGAGCCACGATGGGGTGAATCACTGGGCCAGGTCAGCTGCTTCAGCACAGCGCGTGCCCAAGCAGCCGGGGGGGGGGGGGCGCAGGGCATTCGCACCACCCACCGGCTCCGCTTGGCTCGCTCAGCCCTTCAGTGGCCCCTCTGAACCCAGGCCAATTGGCTCACCGAGGGCTTGGAGGCAAGCGGGAGATGGGCCAGCATAGGGGGCACCGTGGGTGCCGGCCGCCCATCCCATCCCAGCCAGGTCCACACCTTCACACGGCTCTGCCCTTCCTCCCCTCCTGGTGGGCTCTTTCCTGGGGAAGGGGCTTGGCAGAGCCCAGATAAGGAGAGCAAAGCGAGCAGCAACTCTAGATCGGTGTTTCTCCCCCTCGGCAGCTTTCAGATGTGGGGACTCCAACTCCCAGCATTCCCATTCCTGG